ACCCGCCATATTAAACAGAACTAGCAGTATCCACAGTAGTACAGCCGTAACGATAACGATCCTGTTTAACCAATCCTGCATTGAGAGAGGTTAGGACCACCTACTTTATTAGCACAGAAATACAGAAATAAATAAATGTAGAAATACAGAAATAAATGTAGAAATAAATGTAGTATAACACAAATGTTACAAAAATAGCACAATTAAAAATGACACTTTTGACAAAATTATGTATTTATTCATTAATTTATGCATATTTACATTTATTTATTTCAGTATTTAATTATTTATTTCTTCATTTACTTATTTCTTCATTTATTTATTTATGTATTTCTACATTTATTTATTCATTTATTTCTACATGTATGTATTTATTCATTTATTTATACTTAAATAATTTCTCGTTCTCCATACGCAGGGCTGCGCATCAGCTCACATGCAAAGTTTATTTTCTCGCGCAACCCCATCTCCACCCCCAATCATTAGCTCTTTTTTGTTTTGTCTTTGACAGTGCATATAAGACAATTTTTGAAATAGCACAATTCTACTAAATTTTCAACAAAATTGATTTCAAATTTAATTCAAGCACATTCAATGACCTATATTTGTTTTCAAGTACTTTCCAGGCGTGGGAACCCTATATAAAGAGCATCCGTCAACGTCGAAAACAGTTACGAATGGTGAGCGGCAAGAACTTTAGTGAGGCCGAAGTTGGCGTCCTGCTAGCGGAAGTAAACAGTTTACTTTTATTTGTGAACACTCACAATAAAATAAAATACTGTGCTTTAATTTGTAGCATCAAGAAAAACAGGATGCCTTTTTAGCTGTCTTGGTTATTTTTAATTTATGGAGCGAATCACAGAAACAAACCAAATAAGCATAGCTTACTTGTCTCAGTTTTTTTTTCTTTCTTTCATTTTAAGTGAAACATATTTTGTGTAAGCTTATTTAATTATATACAATTTTATTGTTTTTTCGTTCACAAAAGTGCGGCAGATGCAGGATGACGTGTCAAAACTCATGTTCTGTTTATGGTGATATTTGCACATTATGGTATTAACGGGTCTCAGACATTAATATATTTAATTTCTTTTTAAATCTAATTTAGTTTTTATTTAACATTCTAATCTTGTCTGTTAACAGTTAAGCAATTATCCAGCGTCTGATATCTGTTAGGAAAATTAACCGAAATGCACAGCCCTAATACTAATATCATCATCATCATCATGGCTGCTGCTTATTTCCAAATACCTGCAGTACTCTGACTTTGCCACAAGGAAAAGTGCGTACGCCTGCTCAGACCCTGACGTGGCGGTAAGTAGGCCTACTTTTCCACATCAAAGACCATTTTTACAAATATGAACGTTGCCGTGAACTTTAGCGTACGCACCCTGTACGATCAAATCTGTGCGTACATACATTTTATAAATGAGGCCCCTGGAGTCCCACTGGCCTGCAACATTTATTTCCAATCTGCTCTGGCTGTGATTTTCATGTGGTCTTGAAGAGCTTGATTAACTGGTTCAGGTGTGTTTGATTAGGGTTGGAACTAAATTGTTCAGGAGCAGGGTTGAAGACCTCAAACTACTTAAAGCTTCCAACAATTATTTCAGTCTTAATTAAAAAAAAAGTTTGTTTAAGAATAGTTTGCAAAAGTGCAATTATAAACACAATGAGGCTGTAAAAGCGGACTAAGTAGGTGAATTTACCTGTGTGGCATGATAATGTTTAATGTCTTTGACAATTTCTGTAGTCCAGTTTTGACACTTGATAGCAACAGTTTTCAAGACCAGTAAAATCTTAAAAAAAAAAAAAACCCATAAGGGGAATTGCTGATGTATGTCGTAGAATAAAATGTTAAAAATAACTTTAGCTTGTGATAACCACCTTATTTCAGGTATTTTCAGGTAAAAAAAACAGGGATGCACCAATGCAAAATATCTCAGCCGGTTATTCAGAATGATATCGGCAGATACCAATAGACCAATTTGTTGTTTGCAAACAGTTATGATGTTTTTTGTGGGCGGAGTCTAACTGATGGCAGAAAATGACAGTTTTAAAGTAATAGTCTACGGAAGCCATGGAATAAAATAATTTTAAAAAAGGTAATTCAGTTTATATTTCAACATTCTGACTTTTTTCTCGCAACTCTGAGATTATATTTCACAATTCTGATAAGAAAAATCAACTGCAGGTGATTCATAGGTCAAACAGAACTCGCATTAACGATGCTGCATTATTATTGCTTGGACAGCCCTAAATTCGACACAAGAAACACTTTCTTTATGAAAGGTACTGTCTGACACTTTTAGGTTAGCTTTTGATTGACAGGATATATAATCGGACCTGATCATTGGCTGTTTTTGAACAATAGGCTGATGACGAATAGTGCAGATAATAGACTTGATCGGTGTCGCGTCATAGCTGTGTGGGCGGAGTCGGCGTGGGGGAAAAGAGTCCTTTCCCCCCTCATTGGAAAAGCATGGTGTTGACTCAGAATGGCCTACATAAAATTATTCCTGCCGCTCGACAGAGCAACATACGCATAAAAACTGAGCCGTATTGGGTCGGACTGTCCGTACGGTATCTGTGACTGGACAAACGACCCAACTAACAAGGTCTCCGCGCGTTAATTTGAATAGTTTGTTTTCCCCCACGGCATAAACGGTTATGACGTTTTTGTGGGCGTTCCCAGCAGTGCCGAACAAGTCTATTGCTTATATGGCCTGATATGGTTATTGTTCAATACATCGGTACATCCCTACCAAAAACCAATACAAAACAAGTTTTTTTTTTTAAATCTATGGAACGGTAAATGCTTTTATTGAAGGCATCAGCCCCCATAATTGTAACTTTTTTTTTAAACAATTGTGTATAACGAGAATTCCTGGTGAAAAACTACATCACCCATGATACTGCAAAGCAGTGGCGGCACTAGGGCGGGGCTTGATGGGGCTATAGCCCCGTCAGAAACTTGTTTACCCCCGCCACAACCCCACCAAGGATTTCCTAATGATATTCCTGTTTTATTTTTTTTTTTAACTCCCAGTGTCACTTTCATTAGCATTGAAAAATAAACATTAAAAACCTAAACAAAAAAAAAGTGCCTATGTGGCCTATAAACAATTTACATTATGGAGGAGGGGTCAATTAGGCGCACTTAGGTACAGTGTGCATTAGCGTTCATTTTAAGTTTAGTATCAACAGCTATCATGATGGAGCGCTATTTAATATCAAGTAAAACACCGCGAATTTCAGACACTTTGTAGAATAGCTCAGAAGAGAACAATAACACAAGTCGACAGTCTCAAGTCCTGTTTACAACTAGTGCATTTTTGTTTTAAAACGGCATTTTAAAATCAAAACGATCCTCGTCTACACTTGCGTTTTCACTGCATTTTAGAAACGTTCTCCTTCCACACTACACAACCGAAAACGCATGTCACATGACCATTCGTGCAGGTACAACCAGAGCCGTTGAGAAACAGAGTTGCGACACGCTTTGATCTCGCCGCCACGCGGTCACGTGGTTCATGGAGCTCTCAATAGTTCCAAACAACTCCGCGCTGTCAATATGTTTGAATGGGTTTAAGTAGGATAGACAGCAGTTTCACTATATTTGCAGCAATTTCTAGTGATTATTAACACATCATGTGCATTGATTGTGTATTGATAACTACGGTGACTACGTTTTACAATCGCATTTTATTCTGGGGAGTGATGAAGAGAGAGCATTAATATTTTTTCTAATATGCTTATTATTTATATTACAATTAGCGTAGTATTTAGGGTTAAAATAGAGAAAATGTTTTTAAATTCCAGTGCAAAGAGGCAAATTAGAGACGTTTGGTGGCCAGAAAAAGAATATTCCTATATAATGCCATGGTTTAACCACTAGATGCCCGTATGGCTGTTTAATAAATATAGCCTAGATATATTTAGCTCTACTTAAAGATTGCAGAAAGACTAAAAACGTAAAAATATGACAACTAGCATCTGGTTATGGTCACTATTAAGGTGTTTCTCACGTTATCTAACTGCAAATATAGCATAACTGCCTATTATCTAAAACTCAAATATTCATAAAATACAACTACTGGCCAGATTTCCGAGAGGTTAAAATGCCAAAAATTGCTGTAACTTCCTCAACTTTCTGGCGAGTGTGCTTGAGAAGCACTCAAATGAATGGGCTTCATTGGTTGTTTGGAACTATTGGCTGCTCCCAAGCGGCAACCTCCCCCTCTCTCTCGTGAAGCCAACAAGGAAGTGACTTAAACTGTAATTAATCAACTGGCCGCTAGAGGCTGGCTGCAAAAGGGAATCAATCCCATAGACTCCCCATGTTAAAATGGCCAACTTTACAGCAGAAAAAAAACATGTTTACAGCCTGGTTCAAAAAATTTTTCGATTATCCGGGAGTGACGCGTGGTGACACGCTGCCAAGATGGCGACGGCCACCTCCGCCCAATTTTGAGCTTCAAAAACGCTCTTCGGAAATTTACGGGTGACGTCACGGACACTACGTCCATGTTTTTATACAGTCTATGGCTGCTCCATGACACGCTTTACTTCCGCATTCCTCAGTTCCTATGGAAGCCTATGGGAGTGTCATAACTCTGTTTCTCAACGGCTCTGGGTACAACCATAGACATGTATATATCTATGGGTACAACAATCCAGCACGATGTTATGGTTTGCACGGTCGTCAAGGATACGCAGAGTGAATGTGGGCAGCCACGCCATCATTTTCAAAAGTCTCCGTTTTGGTCCGTTTAGGAAATTGTTTTATAAATTGTCGGCACTTTATCTATTGTAAAACTTTTTTAGAATTTACCGTGTTTTCCTGCCAGTTGGCATTGAGAGTGACTGACACTTGATGGTGCGCGCTGAAAAGACCGAACACGCAAGAAACCTTCATCCACCACTGGATACCTTCCTTGGGCCAAGTGCGTGGACTCACTGCTGTATATAAAAAACACAAGGTGGCTGAATTTGCATGCTTAGCTGAAGCTTAGGCATTCATTACTTTCTCTCAATTTAATTAGTTTTTTAGCACCCCCTCTGAACTGTTAAGCCCCCCCTTAGCACCACCAACAAAAAATCTTGGAGCCACCACTGCTGCAAAGAATGCATAAAGCATAGCTCACACAGAAATCACTTTCAACCAAAGCAGCTTTCTGTTTGTCAGTGCAGCAAATTTGTAACCAACCTGATGTAAAAACTGTGTGGGGAAATCTTTCCCCCTCAAGGAAAATTCTTGATAGCGTATATTCCTATGTCTCAATTTTGACTTTTTGCCAGGCTGATTGTTTTGTACACTGTAATGGGCTAGTTTTTTCTTAGCAAAAGCTTTAAGATAATATCAATGTAAAATAATTTCAGCTAAACTAAAATTACTTTTTATATTTGACAAGTAGCCGTATAATAAGCGGGTTAATATTCAGTGAGATGGTGGGAGCACAGAATGGCATTTTCACACTCAAACAATCAAAATACTTTGCTGCACCTGTTTGTAGGTGCTTAATAATGCTTTTGACTCTTGTAATGAGAACGGTGCTGTCATATGGTTGTAGCTGCCATAGTAGCCCTCCTCTTGTGCAGGAGGAGGTGAAAAAACAAAAGCATTAAAGCTTTTTAAAGAGCAGGGCTAAAGTTGGCAAGGGGTTGTTTATGTGTTTCATGTTTCTTGCAGCGTGTCTCTGGTAAGCCCGCATGTCCACAGGCCATGGGCTGATCAGTTGACCTGCTCTTTACAAATGCAGTCCTGTTGAAGACATCCGTGCTGCTCCTACCGGGTAACACAGTCTGACGCAGCTTCTCTTGACCTCTAACAAGTGATTCTTTGACTGTTGAGAGGCCCAGATTGTGCATACAAGAGGCAGGTATTGCCCCCAAGCCCTGCTCCTTTCCATTCCGGCTGTTATACATACAATGAGTGAGGTCGCACTCTTTCTCCTCTCAGTTTCCTCTGGGTAAGACTGTGAGTGATATTTGAGGGCTGTGGTGGGTTGGAGCAGGTGGAGAAAGAAGATTTGGTCGACTGCGATTAGGCTCTGAGCCCTGACACACTCTGGTGGTGTGAATACAGGAAGCTCAGAGGGCGCTGAGACCGAATCCGACCTGTTTGTTTTCTCTTACAAACCTCCACTCCTATCTTATCCCGTTCCTTCTGAAGAATGGTGTTCTTCTCCTCTGCCACCCTCAGTTCTTCTTGGTCCTCCTCCGGTTTTTTTTTTTCCCTCCATCATGCTGACTTCCCCAGTCTCTTCTTTTGATTTTCGGGATAGGCATCTGCTTTGTTTTGCTTCTCTCTCCCCTGGAACCTCTCTGTTGTCACTCATTTCCTCATAGATGCTGGCTTTGATTGACTCCTGCTCAGAGTCTTCATCAGTGCTGCTGTCTGCAGGGCAGGTGCTCTCGTGTTTCTGTCTCTTCCGGGTCATGGCTGATATGATAGACATGGGGAGGAAGTCTTTGGCACTCAGGTCTTTCTTGGATGTTGATGTTCCCTGTAATAAAAGAAATTGCATTTCATTGCAGAGCTCAAAAATTTTTACAATTTGTTCTGCTGATACTGAAGTCTTTTAATGAGGACTCAGAGTCTTTTTTCAGTAACATGTTATCAGAAGTTTATCCAGGAGGCATGACAACACTAAAAATCTGACATTCAAAATCGTTTAAACAAACATGGAAACAAAAAGTTTTAGGATTTTTTTATGAAAAACAAAGTGTAACACAGTTCGTAGATTGGGAAGAAGGAGGCGGGAACCGGCAAACATTTAAACATAATTTTAATAATAAAATAAACACAAAACTTAAAATAGCGCGACAGCCCCTCACGGATGACTACCGCGCACAAACAGAAACAAAACAACATAAAGTCCAGGCCTGGTCCTCTCTCGTCCAACACTGTCGTCACTCCTCCTTTTATCCTCCTCCATGGGACTCGAGACCGGTGAGTGGTGCAGGTGTCGCGCATTATCATTTACTCCATCGGCCTCGCTCCGTTCCCACGGCTCTCGGCCCCACCCCTCTCGTCACACAAAGCAAGGTCATGATGTTAACTGAATAATAAATATTTTAGATTCTGCACTTGTCAACTGTTACTTGTATACTATTCAAGTTACTAAATCTATAACATGCGACTGTATCATTGTATCATTCTGGACTCTTTGGATCATTCTGAAATCATGATGGATTGAATGATCATCTGGTTTGGCACAAACCCGTGAAGTGCTGCTATCATAAAGCAATATGATGTCTAAGACATTAAATACTAAGACATTCTGAAATTCATGTATATTTTTCAATTAAACTTTTTAAAATCGATGACAGTATAATTTAAAATGGAAAACATCTACTATATATATATATTGGTCTTAGCTGTATGTGGAATATTCCTCACATTAACCACTAAAATAAAAATATTAAATGAAAAACATTTCACAACATTCAAGGAAAAACAGCTATGCCTGCCATTTGTTAAATGCAAAACAAAAAATATGAATATAAAATACATATAATAGAAAATGAAAAATACGCACTGAGAAAAAAAATGTATAGGTAGTAAACTTTCTCAATTAAAAAAATAAATAAAAATAAATACATATAGTTGTGCATTTTAGATGCTGATCTTACCTTAGATTTAGCTGAGTCACTGTTGGTGGAATCTGTACAGGTGAGGAAAAGTAACAGATTAGAATCAGGATTATTGTCATACAATTTATCAGAGCAAGCTAAATGGGCAGTGCAATCTGTGTTGTATGTCTTTAAAGATGAAGTGTATATTTCTGCACTACTAGTGTAAGGGAATTTAAAATAGAAATATAAAATGTTTATTAATGAACAAGATTCCCCATGATCGAATAGGACAAACAGATTGTCCCACCTTTTGGTTGAGCCAATGTTGCTTTCATACTACAACCAACAGAGCAATGTAGTGCCACAGAACCATATACGACCCACATATATCTGCAACCTATCAACCTACCAATAGCTTACTTGTATTTTTCTTTGCATATTAAACTAGGAGAGGAGAACATAAACATTATATTCCTCACCTTTAAGAGCTAAAAACACTACTGAAAGAACACTGAAAATGCTGTTGTTTGTTTTCTAGCAGTCAAATAACAGATATGAAATAACAGAATTGAAGATCAGAATATAAAAAAACATTTAGTTGTAAGCTGCAGCAGATGGTAAAATAACCTGAGAAAAATACAATCCAAAAAAACTTTAGGTTATTTGTGTAATCTCGCGGTTCTCTGGTAATATATGAGGTATCTCACTATAAGAACCGTCTTGGGCATGACCAATCCTGGAAGCACCAATAACACCATCTCTGTCAGTTGACAGACCAATCATGACAGCAATGCGGGAGTCCCGCCTCCCTAATATATCAATCAAGCCAGGAATGGCACTGTATTATACATTCTATAAAATCATACAAAATTGTAAGGTGAACGCACATATGTCCTATACTAAAATGTGCTTAAAGGGGTCATGAACTACATTTTTAAAATAATTTTTTAATTTATTTTTATTATTTTTATTATAATGTTCTCTGAGGTTCACTTATAATGTTAGTGTGATTTTACATCAAAAACACATCATAATTTAGAAGTAATGGGCTATTTTATACCCTGTTTTTGAGCCTCTCTGCAGAACGGTCTGTTTTTATAGGCGGGGCACATTCAAGACTCTCAAGTAAACACCCACTGCTATGATTTGCTAACAGTTTCATTGAAAACAACATGGGAATAGTCAATAACGGGGCGCTTGTGTCAAGAAAGATTTATGGCTTTGACCTTTTGACCTTTCCCCTCCCCCCACGTAGCCCACCCACGTCGCAACCAAACACGTTGTGTTGATCCCATGACCTGTTAATGATATCCAGATGTGGATATATTGCATATGTGGAATTCCGATGTTGCCCTATGACCTCTGTGGGAAGAAATATGGTGTTTGTACAATTCTGTCCGGTGACGAAACCATAAATGAAGTCCTGAGGAATGTTTTTGTGCTTTTATGGTCCATTTTGAACACCCACATCTGATGGTGTCCATCATCTGACGCCCGCATGACCAGGGAGAAATCCGGTTGCATTCCATGGTATGCTTAGATAAATAGATCTCAGGCATTTCTGTGGAAAATCAGAAAAGAGCTGTGAAATACATATCGGTTTTAAGGTCAATATAAAAAATAAGTAGACAATTTTAACAGATCATGGGAACATATCACAATATGTGTGTGCGCGCCCACACATATAATTTGATGATTGTATAAAAAAGATTTAAATAAAATATGTAACATGACTAATAATGAATTGAAAATAAAACAGTAAATAAAGAAATGGATAAAAATATAAATCCCTTACATTTTCCAGAGAGCGGAGAAAACACATCTTTATGTCAGCCGTACTTCAAATGAGATGCTCTCAAAATGTGCTTAATTTGAGTTCAAAAATGAAATCCTGCTTAGAGCTACACTCACATCTCTCACAGTGAAATTGGAAAAGCTCCTCCGTCTCTCGCTCTCTCTCTCTCTCTCTGACACACACACACACACACATTTTCTTAGCTATCTAAATGGGGACACTACACAGACTCCTACTGTTTTTTTGTTTTTATCTACAGATAATTATACATTTTACAACCTATCACTAACCCATCACAGAAAACTTTATATCTTACAAAATAAATAAATAAGTGATGTGATTTATAAGTAATTTTCTCATGGGGCTCAATAAAATGGCCCATGCAAAGTCAAAATGTTCATGCTCCTCTCTTTGGCCCCCCACAACGTAGATTAAACAAGTACACAAACACACATTCAAAAGTACGAGTCTTATTCTCTTCTTTTAAATGAAATTAATATAAATGATGCGATCACACACGATATAAAACAAAGCAAAACATTTACACTAGTTTTAGACAACAAAAACATTTGTAATGAGCCAGCGACGTCAAAAAAAGTAAAGGGGAAAAAATTCATTTTAACAGGCCAAACGGTAAGGGATATTGTGGACTTGTCATTGTCATGTTTTAAGGGGAAGTCGTGGCCTAATTGGTTAGAGAGTCAGACTCGTAACCCAAAGGTTGCGGGTTCGAGTCTCGTGCCCTTGAGCAAGGCACTGAACCCCCAACTGCTGCCCGGGCGCCGCAGAAAAAATGGCTGCACACTGCTCTGGGTGTGTGTTCACGGTGTGGGTGTTCACTGCTGTGTGTGTGTGCACTTTGGATGGGATAAATGCAGAGCACTAATTCTGAGTATGGGTGACCATACTTGGCCACATGTCACAATCACTTAAAAAAAAAAAAAAAATTATCATAATAATTTGATAATAATAAATATGACCTAATTCAATTCAAATTTATTCGTTTAGCTTTTCACAAAACAAATTGTTGCAAAGCAGTTTCACAGAAAATGTACGTTTCTACATTATATTTAGAACCTTTTATATTCATATTTACATTATATTATTTAATTTTATACTGAATCACCCCTAAACCTACCCATCACAGTAAACTTTCTGCATTTTTATATTTTCATAAACATCATTTAGTATCATTTATCATTTAAAAAACGGTTATGCTCTGGGGCAAATTTTGCTCAGGTCAATTATTTAAAGTATTACAACACATCTGGTTTGTGGGGACACTCCATATTGTAAAGGGAAGTCAGACTCGATACACAGGTGAGTTAGAATGAAACAGACAGGTTTATTATTCAGGATGGAGATGATCAAAGACTTCGTGAGTATTGCAGACTTAGAGTCTTCAACGGACTTGAAGAGGATACTGACAGTTATATTCTTGATTAGCAGGTCGGAGGGAGACGGAGAGGATCGGGGTGTTTCCAGGAGCACGCACACACACACACACTTATAGTGCTGTGTGGGTGATTGGTGAATGACAGTCAGGTGTGTGTGATTAGTATTCCGGTGATTGTGAGCGCTGATAGGTGAAAGAGCCTGGCGTGTCCGTGACACATTCTCTTCTAAAGAAGATGGAGATAATATATATATATATATATATATATATCATGGTAACAAACATGTTACTAAAGCAAAGCAGACCATTTATCATACGTTTTAAACGTATTCAACATTTATTTAAGTTTATTGAACCTATAGAACACATCATTACGGAGCCCCTAAAGGGACATGGTGGTGGAAAAAATTTGCGTTCTCTCGCAAATATACGCAGTCAGCAAATTTCCTTTGGCGCGGATCTGGCCCATATCAACAGCTAAAGTGTGGCCCAGATTAGTTTGTGTTCGCTGGCCCAAAACTGGTCCACATATTTTTAGCCAGAACTGAACCTAAACAGTGCCATAACCCAACCCAGAGTGAGCCAAATAATTAAGCCACGTTAAGCGCGGTTTTCTATGGGGAAGAAAACGCTTAATGCAGTTCAGCTCATATGGGCTCATCTGTTTGCATGTACGCAGAATATATTTTTAATAAGTTCTATAGCATATTTGGTCTTTTTTTTATCACTGTCTTCATTAAGCCGCATTTTTTTTTTGGGAGGAAAACGCTTCTGTTCTTACTTTCATGTATAATTTATTAATAAACTGTATACCGAATCTGGCCTTTTTATACCACTATCTTAGTCCATTAATTAAGCATTTTCTTTCTATGATGGATACTCTTAAAGTGCAATTCAATTTACCGGGTTACGTTCATATTCTGGGCTATTCTGCTCGTCTGTATGCTTTATTAGTAAGGTATGCACTGAATTTAGTCATCCAGTGGTTTACATTAAGCGTTTTAGAATGTCCCAAAACCGTGCCTTGATGCACTGACTATTTCGTCCTGACTATTAAGTTCAAAACAAAACTCTATGAACTGCTCCTGAACGTATGGAGCTGTATGAACCACTACAATCTGTAAAGTAAACAGGAAGTGTTTGTCCGAACTCAACTGGTTTTGCGAGAGAACGCAAATATCTTTGCGAGGGAACGCAAAATTTTTGCGAGGGAGAACACAGTGGTTTACATTAAGCGTTTTAGAATGTCCCAAAACCGTGCCTTGATGCACTGACTATTTCGTCCTGACTATTAAGTTCAAAACAAAACTCTATGAACTGCTCCTGAACGTATGGAGCTGTATGAACCACTACAATCTGTAAAGTAAACAGGAAGTGTTTGTCCGAACTCAACTGGTTTTGCGAGAGAACGCAAATATCTTTGCGAGGGAACGCAAAAGTTTTGCGAGGGAGAACGCAAAAAATCTGACAAATATTTTTTCCTCCCACCCCAAATTTTTTAACTCAATCTGATTTTTTTCCACCACCATGTCCCTTTAGGGGCTCCGTACATAATTTTCTTCTTTTAGAGAAGATGGTGATAAATAAAATAAACATTTACGATAGTTTTAGATGACAATATAAAATCGCCTTACATTTTTCTGTGAACAATGTTGCCCATTCCGTGAATTAAAGATTTACAAAAAATAAAACAAAAATGTTTGTTGAAATATAAACAAAACTCCTAGGTCCTCGGGTAAACTCCAATGTGAAACTGAGGGTCTATTTCAGTATAGGCTTAGATCTCTGCAACAATTCTGCGCGCGAAAGATCATATTTTGAGCGCACAAAAGTGCATTTTGTACGCGCGCGATCTGAGTTTTGTGGAGAAAACGTTCGTTTCGCAAAGAAAAAAGTAT